AGTCAAGGTTCACAATATAGTATTGACTCGATTTCAGTTAGTTGTTAGATTAGTTTAAACAAGAAGATGAACAATGTAAGTACTCACCTCTTCCTGGTTGTCTCTTCAGCAGGGGGCGGAGGCAAAGGAGTGTTGTAGGCCCAAGTACCTGCTTAAGAGCTGCAGGAGCAAACCATGAAGCTGAGAAGGGGGGAGTAAAGCCATCAATAATACTGACTTATGTGATTATTTTGAGTATGCTTTATTGATTTACTGATAGAAATTTGTATTTATGTAAATATTCATTCTTTGGGCTCTATTTTTCTGTGGTGTTGGGTTTTTGGGTAAATTATTTAGTATTCTAAATGATGGTGGTCCCACCTGAGTAGTTTTACCCACTTAATTACCTGCAGGAGGGAGTGTATAAAAGGCAGCAAGTTACTTCCAGTGCAAGTTGTTTTGTTGCTTGTTGGTGTCGGTGTCTCCTCTTGTTGGCTTGGAAGACAATAAATGCCACGTTTGTGCTTGCATTTTACCTCTGTCTCATGTGTCTCTCTGAAAAATGTAAAGCCACCGCCAGGCCATCGGACAGAAATATAGCAAAAATTCGATCTATGTTAACTTTTAAGGACACCGAGACCATTTTACACGCCTTCATTAAATCACGCCTGGATTATTGCAACAGCCTTTTCACCTGTTTAACCCAAAAATCTATTGATCGACTCCAGACTGTCCAGAACTCAGCTGCCAGGCTTTTAACCAGAACAAAGAAATATGACCACATTACTCCTATTTTAGCTTCATTACACTGGCTCCCAGTATGTTTTAGAATTGACTTTAAAATTCTATTGATCACTTTTAAAGCTCTTCATGGCCTCTCACCTTGTTATATTTCTGAACTTTTAGTCCCATACACACCAGCACGTACCTTGAGATCCTCGGGCAGAGGTCTGTTGTCTGTTCCAGAGTCTCGACTGAAAACTAAAGGGGACAGAGCGTTTGCTGTCAGGGCCCCGAGGCTCTGGAACAGCCTGCCTGAGGAAATCAGGTCGGCTGAGTCAGTGAACTCTTTTAAGTCCCTTCTTAAAACATACTTTTATAGGAGAGCCTTTCCCGATCTTATTTGACTTTATTTTATCCCTTTTATTTTATTGTATTTTAATAATTTTATATGAATTTTTCATGCTCTTATCTTGTTTTTTTTTTGTATTATTCTTTACACTTGTTAAAGCACTTTGTAACTTGTTTTTGAAAAGTGCTCTACAAATAAGGATTATTATTATTATTATTACGGGTTACTGCACGCTGGGGGGCAGGCGGAGGCTTCGGCATGGCATAGTGGGTATTCTCGTTCCCATAGTGTCGTCACAGACGCAGTTCGAGTTCCCTTGAAGGGGAACGTCTCGGGTTATGTATGTAACCCTTGTTCCCCGAGAAGGGCAAGACACTGCGTCAGTCCGCCACACCTCGCTCCGCCTGGAGTGCCTTGCTTCATAGCAAAGAGCTAATGTGTCCGGTGTGCCGGCGTGCTTATATACGCCTCCAGTTACGCCGTCACACGCTACCGTTCTAGCAACGCCAATAGGATTGGAGTAGTTTCATTCATGATTTCAGCCCTGCCACGCCCAGAGGCGTTCCCATAGTGTTGTCACCGATGCAGTTCAAGTTCCCCTTCTCGGGGAACAAGGGTACGTAACCCAAGACGTTTTTCTCGTCTTCTTTTTGTTGCTGGCTCTCCAACTGCGCTTCGGCATGCACCCTGTGTGCCCACCTCTCCGAACAACGCCCTAACAACTTCGACCCGGCGCAGCAAAGGCTTGTTCGTTTTCAAGCCACACACGCAAAGTGCTGCAACCTAGGCTTTCTCTCGTTTAACAGCAACTTTAGTTGCGTTTTATTTTGTTAAAAATTATCAGTCTTTTAAGTTACACTAGTTTAATTATAGTTAAATTAAGTTTAATTCAAGTTCTTTTTAAGCTTTATGCGTCGCGTTAATCCTACTGAGGTCGGACCCTCCACGTGGTCCCGCCAGCAGTAACAAGGACGACCAAACCTCTGACCCGAGCCAGGGTTGGAAAGGCCCCCACTGCGAGTTTCTTCAGTAAACCGACAAAAGACGGACCTCCGGAGCAATTCCCTGGCAGAGAAAGCGACTGGCCGACAGCTTTGAGCTGTCCTAACCGAGAACGCACGGAACTCAGCCAGTGTGAGGCCGTTGACCAGCACCCGGCTGGGATCAGTGATGTCCCATAGTTGTTAATAGATTATCTTTAACTCTTAAAACTCATAGCTTGCGTTCATTAGCTGCCGTATGAGTCAAATCCTCCCCACAATAGAAACCCACATTCTCATTGTTTAGCCATTGTTTATTTCTTGGATGTATATTTTAACCGCATTTTTATATTCACCTTAATTAGTTCATAAATTTCACTGTAACCACGAGAATTTACCCCTTCGATATGAGACTGACTGACTAATTGATTTAAGATAATTGAGCGATTATTAACTAACTGATCACTAGTGAATAATTGTAGAATTATTAAAACCATACTCAGAGGTCCGGAGACTCTGGGCGAATTGGATCTCCGGTGGTGCCCCGAAACGAGAGATTTATGAATGAATATTCTCTGAATATTAAAATTCATAATTTTGTATTAATTCTCATAAATTTATTAAAACATAGTAGTCATGCTACAATAGAATATTTGTGATAGACTGTTCAATAACTACAGTTGTTAATTTGGTCATCCACAGTAGAGGTTAACATACAGGTTTAGTCTCAGTGATGATCAATATACAGAAGCAGATGTACTGTTGCAAATGGATTATCATCAATCACGGTGTTCATAATTAAGTAATGGCACTTTTCAAGAAATGTATATTGGCTCTCCAAAATTACATTTTGCCTTTTCTGTAAAATTAGCAGTAGTTCTTTTCCCAGTATCCATTAATCCATTTGTTTTTCTGTTGTTGAGGTGAGGAATGAGTGTGTGTGCATCTTGCTTGCTTTCTTGCTTGCATGCTGTAAAAGAGCCGTGTGGTTCGTTTCAGAGGGGATTTTTAACAGCTTTCACTTTTGTTACTGTAAAATGGCAAGAATTTGGACCGCCCATATGTCAATGTTCTGTCTTTTCTCTTTTTCTTTCAACCATTGTTTTTCTGCTTTGCAGACTTCAGCTCATCCTCCAGTCACAAAGTTAGTCTTTGAAGCACGTCAAGTTATGAGTATTTGACTGCCTGCCTTCCTTTTTACACACCTCACTCTGCACCTGTGTGTGTCTACTTTATCAGGGCATCTGCATGCATTTGATTATTACTTTACATGATTCCTGATAGTACTGTTGTATAGTTCAATTATCTTAATGTTATGTTAATATTATGCAAGAACTGCAGCATGCTTGCATGTAGCTATTTGGGGTGGTGATGGTGCAGTGGATAAGACACATGCCTTTAGTGTGAGAGACCTGGGTTCAAATCCACTGTGAGGCACCAATGTGTCCCTGAGCCATATACTTAACTCCTACTTGCGGTGTGCGACCTCTGATGTATATAGCAATTGTAAGTTGCTTTGGGTAAATGTAATTAAAATGAATAAATATGCTTAGAGTACAGTATATTCTTTCTTTAACTTTATATCACAAATATTGATATTGATCCACACACACATGAGACACTTCCAGTAAGTGTGACCAAGCTCACATAGACCTGTCAACACTCCCACACCCACATAGCTGCTGCTGTAACAGGAATGTGTTGAGAGACACTCGTAAATCAGTCTATTCAATGTGCTAGGTGTGTGTATTTCTAGGTGATTTACTGACAGCAGTGTCTGAAGTCTTCAATGCCCCTCTGTGTGTATGACTGTGTATTTCACGGTAGAGTTGATTTATTGACAGTCAATTAGTAACTGGTCTGTCAGCACCTTGTTGCCAAGGAAGACTGTGGAGACACACACTTCATGCATTCACTCAAACACAAACCACACATGTTGAATTATAATGAAGCAAACTCATCAAAACAAAAGTTCATCTTTATTATCACCATTTAAATAAAATAATTATTTTATATTCTCTATATTTTTACTTTCCAAACTGTCCAAATTAGGAATGAATATACTTACAGAGAAATCCAGACAATTCAGCAGCACCACCATGTGGTTAGAAATGGAACTGACTTGAATTTACAATCACTGTCTCCATGGATTTATTGTTGTGTTTTGCTTGCATTTTGAGTCGTGGTCCATAATTGTTTGTTTGTTTTTTTACTTTCTTTCATCTGTACTGTCTTCTTTGTAACAAGTCTTTTAAATTTTTAGAATTTAATCAATTAACTCTTCATACTTGTATCTCTTCCTCTTCTTCTGCTTTACCGCCCCTTTAGTGGGCCGCAAAGTATTTTGAAGTAAGTCTTTCAAGATAATTCCACTGTTTCTTAATGGCTGTTTTATTATTCTCTGTTTTTATTTATTCTTTTTCTGATTTCTTCTGTTCTTTTTTTTTTTTTCCAAGAAAACCCCTACCACCAAGGTATTAGATCGGATCAGAACTAGACACAGAATGCATTTAACAAAGTGTGGTGTTATTTTTGTCTAATAAACACAAATTGTACTTGATTATTTTTACACTGTTCCACTTTGCCGTCTAACCTATAGTGTAAACATCATATTTGATATTTAATGCCATTTTTCTAACTGAATCATTGTGTGTTAAATACATGGACTGTGTATTCATTTAAAATCCTTCATTTGAAATTAACCTCCCATAAAGACTAAACATGTCTTTGTTTCACAACACACTCTGATGGGCTAGCTCTGCCCGTCAGAGTGAAAACCTCTTTACAGTAGTACATCTATGATATAAAATGTTTTATAGGATCCTGCAAAATTCAAAGTTCTACATTTCACTTAAATAGGTTACAACACATGAAAGGAAACTGCATCATCTCTATTACTTTGATCAATTGTATGAGAGGGAGTATTTCAAATTTAAAGTATATTTGCTGATGTCATCCATCCTGTCCAGAGTTCCCAGGAAACACGTTGTGGACACAGACATCAATTTTTACCATGTGCCCACTCATGCTGATGCCAGCAGGCAGCGCATAATGGAGGACACAGAGGACTGGCGCCCACGCACCGGCACCACCCAGTCCAGATCATTCAGGATTCTGGCTCAGATCACTGGCACCGAGAATGGTACGTTACTGACTGAAGTGAGCACGGTGACGATGTTTGCATAGGCATGGTGCAGACTGTTGTTAGTGCACCTAAACTACTGACTAAACACACCAGAGCACAGAGAAACCTCCATACATAGGGATACATAGTAAAACCATAGTAAAACCATGATGCTTGTGTACCATATCATTCATTTCTAAATCAAGCTCAGTAAATCACCGTTTAAATTTTTTAAAAGTCCACATTATTTTCTTTAATGGACTTCTTATTGTTTCTATTATGTCCCTTTTAGCTCCAGATGAGGAAGCTGATGGAGCCAAGAAGACAAAGTAAGTGCATGGAAATGCTAGTTGTGGTTTTAATAGCCCTAGACTCTGCATCATCAGGTTTGTTTGTTTTTGTTGTTGTTGTTTGAATGTATAAGTGCATTGTGTGGAGTAACAATACATATTCCACAAAGTATCATCTTTCCAATTTAGTTTTTTAATTCAACCCACTCAACTGGGTGCATCTAACATATAAAGGCTACATTTAACAGAATGTCAGACTTCACATCCCTGTGGCACAGTTCTGGCAATTGTATTGATGCTGTGTGGGCTCTTCCTGTCTAGACAGCAGAGAAAAGATCACGTTTGAGCCATTAAGTCAAAAGCCAGACCTCTGTGCATTGTACAGAATGTCCATTCTTAGTAGCTCCAAAAATTCAAAAAAGCAGTTTTAATTAAAAGTTGATGGATGAAGTGTTTCCATCAATCAAGAGTGGATGTTTATGTGACGGTTTGTGTGCCCGTAATGGTTGTTCGTGCATTTGGTTTTGGATGTGACAGCCTTGCAGTGCTGCATGTTGTGATTGTGTTGTTGACAATTATGGCTGGACTGTTGCGCTGTTGTCCTCAGTGTGATGTGATCCATTGGCTGTCTGTTGGTCTCTGTGGCTTGTGTTGACACGTGCTCACTTGTGGTAAGATGCAGACGCTCCCGCTGTCTGTGGGTGTTGTTGTGTGGCTTCATGGTAAAATTAATTCATCATTTTAGTCCATACTGGCCTTGATCCATGGGCTGCATTTTGGAGTTGGCTGTCCAAGAGATATTCCCTTCAGTTTACTTTCTCTATCTCTCTCTGTCTTTCTGATGACAGCAAAACTGCATCTCCACCTCATCAAAATGTTCACTGTGCATCATCAGCTTCTTGTTAGTGGCAGCCCTTACTATATAATTAAGCTCTCCTTGTGGCATGGCTCTCATTGCAGATTGCAGGGCAACTACTCTAATTTTCCTAAATCCTTCTTTTCTCTTCTTTTTTGTTGGTGTGGTTTTCTCTTCTGTTCCTCTCTCCCTGTGACGGCAGAGTGAACAAGACCACCACTCGGTTGGTGATTGGCCCTAAGTACAACGAGCTGAGAGACTGGCACCACGGAGTGTCTGCTCGCACCCTCAATGTCCAGTAGACTGTGTGTGTTTGTCTGGTGTATGTGGTTGTCTAACTGTTTGTTTGTGTGTGTGTGTGTGTGTGTGTGTGTGTACACTACATCAGTTTGAGTTTTATTGTTGAAGGGATATAGTCTTGTGGACTGATGGAAATAAAGGAAAGCAAAGAATACTGGAGTGAGAGCCTGAAAAGGAACTGATCAGTGTGTGTGTCTGTGTTCACTGTTACTTTTTGTGCCTGCACTGCGCTGGCCTCATTCAGACTTTTAATTAAGTGTTGCTTATGTGCTTGGCCACTCCACTGATTCCAAGTTGTACACTGCAGATGCAAGAATTTGAGTTTGATTAAAGCATTTATATGTTCTCTTCTCTGTACAAAGTAGTGATTTCATGAAAAAGGATGTATCGTCATACTAATAAACATTGAACTGGATGGTTAGGATGAAGTTTTGAGCCAAAGAAAACTGCAGGAAAACATTTGATATGTGAGTCCATGTGCGCTTATTTGGTGGAATCATTTTCCAAAGTAACACAGAAGGAAGACAAATACCCATAGTCTTCACTACAGCACATACTGTACAAATACCTTCTTTATATTCTGTTTATTGTATGTACAGTGTGTCAGTGCTGGCTGTTTTAGAGCAAATACACAGGACCCTGTTTTTTTGGTAATGAGAAAAGGCAAGCAGCTGAGGTGGCCTGCTGAGAGTTGCACATTTTAGAAATCATCTAGTCTATGTTCATTCTGAAACATTGAACAACATTATGATACACAGAAATTCAAATTTATAAACAGACAATCCTATATAGGCATCCTATTGGAAGTCTGCATACAGCTAATGAGAAAGAAAAGGACTGTTAGTCGCAATCTTTACAAATGCACTACATAACTTCACTGTTTTTTCTCCGTCGTTGCTTTCTGTACGACTGTAGATGGGGTTAAAGGGGAAGGTGGGTGATTTGGAGCGAGGAGTATTTCTGAGATCACTGAAAAGAGCAAATCTGGCCATGTGTCTGCACGAGTGTACCCAGTGCATTAGACAGTTAAGAATGTTCCTTCATATTATTTGGACTGTTGCATAACAACGTATATCTTATGAAAGACACTTCAAACCTGTTTAAAAGCTTTAAGGGCTTGTTTACATCTGTTGTATCTGCTAGCATTGGAACTATTTAAAACACACTATCTTGAAATATGGTGGCATCTGGAAAATGGGGAGAGATTTCAACTTGTCCCGCATGCATGTACAGTACCTATTAACCAATAGCTTATATGCTGCTGGGATGTAACAGTCCAGATTGGTGCTGTAAGACACTTGTATGGAATAAGGCAAGTAAGAAAGGCTCTTTTCAGAGAGCAGGTTGTTTAGCTTTGATGGTGTAAGACGTGACTGTAAGTATGCTATAAATGGCTTGTAATGCAAAGGTATTATTTTGAGGCCCTTTCTATGTAAAATATTTTTCCACTGCCTTTACATTTGTTTCATCCCTATGTTTACTTTGAAAATGGTTTCTTCTTTGTAGATTTTAATAGTGTTGCCTTTTGAAAATAGCTGGACTTCTAGTGGCTGAAATTTCTCTTCTGTGTTTTGAGTTTGAGAAGATATTATTCTATGTTGCAGCTAATAAAGTGATTACGTTTTTTCTTGTTTCCTTTTCTCTCTGTCTCTGTTGTCTCAGTCCTTCCTTTCTCCCCTACTACTCATGTTAAACAGTCCCATGACACAGCACTTTTAAATAAAACAACACTCACATAAAAGCCTTTAATTTAATCACAGGAAATAACGGACCACTTCTAGTCTGTTGTTTGCAAACATGTGCAAAGTTAAAAGCTGACGTTTAACACTCTGCTTTCACATAAGTTCATTTACTGATAATTTTTACACCTCCGCTATAACAAACTTCTTCTTCCATCTAAATTGTTTATATAAAATGAATCAAAGGCTCAACATATCTGTTATGTGCCAGTGACAGGTCTCCAACGCATCAATCCTCTGACCAAGTAAAGGTTCCGAGCTCAGCTTTCAGTGGACTGAATGATGCAGAAGCCAGACCCACATCTGATCACATGATCACACACCAACCACAACCACAGACGGCAGGCTCATCAGACATTTAGCAATTGCCAGAGGAGGATGCTACGATCCCCAACTATGTCCTCATTTCCAAATCTGGCAGACTCTTTTAAACTTTAACATCAAGAGAACATTGTGTCATCTACAGCAGCCCATCACACAATCACCATCCCAGTGCCATATTCAAGTTCTCTCTCATGTTTTGCCAAATACACCCAACCCATTTATGTAACATGAACTATCTGTCAGCTTCAATACTGGTACCTTTAACTTGCGCTGGTTCAACCCCAAAGCCAGATAACATAATCTCATACCCAAAGGCCAAATGGTGAAGTGTTTTTTCTAGCCGACATCCCACACAACATCCTGTTTATACCTACACTCCAGCTTCTTGTTTACCTGTTTTTATAGTGTATTAACTTCTCAATGACTATACTTGGCACATGGTGGTGACTCCTCATTAGTTCAAAACGAAGCACCAGAGGCTTCATCTGATCCTGTCCCTTTCCAAAGACCAGCTGCTTCAAACAGTACAGTTATTGTGTTATAAAGCTTTCAACGGCTCTCAGCTGAAAGGTTAAGATGTTTTATGAAAGCTCACAGTATCACCCTAAAATGCAAAAAAAAAAAAAACAGGTCCAAAAAAGGCTGACACTATAATCAAAATAATCATTTCCTTTACTGTTTTGCTTCGGTCCAGCAATTCCTGGGTAGCACCACTAGAGGACAGCACAGACTCAGAAAAGAAAGAGTCAGATGACAGTCATGATGGTGATGACCACAAATACTACAGAGTCCCTAAACTCAGTTTGACCTTTCTCATCAACACAGGTGCTGAAAGTCCAATACTTGATGAACATGAAGTAAACTTTCAGTGACAGGTTATTAAATTGCTTCAACTATCTGTCCAATCTGTGATGTCTGTCCTGTCTACATGTCCTTTCTCTGTCCTTTCAGTTTCCCAGTCCAAGGCAATACTCATCTATCTCATATGTCAGCATGTCATCATGTACTTTCTACCAAACCAGTCAGGTACAGTGTTTTTTACTAAAATGTTGCTACTACAAATGAGTTCACCTTGCATTCCCTATAGCAACAATGCCAAGCAGCCACACTTACTAAAACAATCTTGTTTTTATTTTTTCAGTATTTTCGGTGGAGACATTTTATATCACTTTGGTCTTTTTCTGTTGTCTTACTGTATGGTGTATGGGTATATACATTTGGGTGTGTGTATTTGTAAACAGGAGAGAGCTCCTGTCAAGTCCTCTGGACTTCCTGCCCAGAGCAGCTCCCTGCCCCCTCCTCTCACTCCCAGTTCCCCCAGACAGCCCACACAAAACAAAAACGCTGAGCACCCTAGTCCAGTGCAGGCAAGGTAAATAGAATGTGCCTTTTTATTTTTTACCTTATTTATAACTTCTCACAATTGACAACTTGGTTCTATCATGATTTCCCTTCCATCTTCTGCCTCCGCTATTCCTCAATATATGTCATCACCTTGTCAGAACAACTTATCAGAGCAGTCCTGGGCCTCCTCAGAAGGCAGTGTCTCAGTCCTTATTGGACGCCTTGCTCATCAATCCAATCACTCAAGCTCCGCCACTGTACTTGAGGAAGAAGAAGAAGAAGAAGCATCATAGCATCAGTGAGCTGCACCTGCCCAAGAACAAGAGGTAGACAGGGCAGACCTGGACAAAACTTGCTTTGTATACTGTATAAATTAAAGTGTTTTAAGTTGAATAGGATTCAAAACAATCAATATTTAGCTTATTAGCATTCTTCATATTGTTATTATTTTTGGTGGCAATAATATAATGATCTAC